GGGGGGAGGGGGCGACACGAAATATTGGTCCGCTCCAAAAAGCTGAGTTTTTCGGTTCGCCCCCTATGTGGTCGGCCTTCTTATCAGTCTGCTTCCTTTCTCTTGATGGAATATATCAATACCCGAGCTCCAGATTTGCTTGCGTTCTTCACCGGCGCTCGCCAGATGTATCACTCATCCTGCTCCCCATGGAGCGGTAAGGAGTCTTCTTGTGTGTTATAATCTTTACGGGAATGAATTGCATTTGTTGGTTAAGAATTGCTCGGGAATTCATTGATAATAACTTTGCCAGGTTCTAGGGAGGCTACTCTTCTTTTTTGTCGATCGAGCCACTTTTCCTCATTCCACTCGTCCAGCCCTCTTCACGAACTTGTACAATCGATGCCACAAAGATAGCCAACTCTATTATCAAAGAAATATGGAAAGGGGCAACAATTTGGCACAAGATATCCGGAGGTGTGGAAAGAGCAGATGTGAGAAGCGGAAAAACCATAAAAAAACAACGATTGTTCATTGAGGTTTCTATAGAAAGACCCCTTGGTTCTAGCAAACGGATCACAATTACAGGTACCTGGGAGCATACCGATGGAATGAACGAAATACGAACAGTTAACATAATATGGTCATAGATCTTAGGTTGTAACTTGATCATGAGCGAATTTGTTGATGTTGCACCCATGAAGTATGAAAAATGCCAAACATTGGGAACTACCCGGAGAGGAGTTAGGAACAGGAACAAGGAGAAGCGAAAACCACTTAAATGGAGGAATCGATTGTGTTTCGTCCTTTGTTCCCCATAGCAACTGGGGATCAAAAAGCACCAAATTTTATGACATATTAAGGGAAAAACGAAGTAAGAGCATGCTATTGGAGATGTTGCAACATATGTCGGGAAGGCCTCCGTTGATTGTGTACGAATAAAATACGAATCCAAAGGTAGGGTAAAAAAGGGTTTAGCTAATGGAGATATTAACTCTTTCAGGAACCAGTAACACATAAACCATGCCAAACCAAGACCAATCAATATCCGAACAGAACGGATTCGAACTTCTCCTAGAATAATTTCCGGTGCGAAATAAAATTCATAGGATATATATGAGTAATTCAAAGGATAAATATAAATATTTGATAGGATTCGATTCATTTTAGTAATGAACAAAACAAATAGGATTGATTATGTATCATAATTTCATCACTACATTAAAGGCATTTTTGTAAATATATTGATAAGATAGCTTGGTATCCAAACATAAAGAATTATGATCCTTGCGAAGCCGGTCAATGGTAGCCTAAGAGCAAGTCAAAACTACGAGAAGGGCACGAGAAGTTTTGTGAAGGTAGAGAGAGATTTTAAAATCAGAATTCAAGTTGGTGTGCCGTGTGTTAAGAAGGCAGAGACCGCCCCAGGCTTCGCCCTAATTCCCATCTAAGGTTGAATAAGATTAGATTAGTCTCGCTAAATTCATTCTCGAATGATTCATCGATGGAATTAGGCCTAGGTCTATGAAAATTTCTTGTGGTTCCCCTTCTTTCTTCGACGAAGGCATACACGCATTGATAGGGAACCCAAAGAAGAGCTAGAAAAAGGAAAGCGGCACCTTAACTTAATAGCTCCATTTCTTGTTCCTGAGTGGAAGGTACTCTCAGTCCCTGATACATTGCTATTTCTTAATCCTTGCGGCCAAGGATAATGAGTCGGTTGGCTGTTAGAGTATAGACTCTCTCGGGGTTAGCGATAAGAGTACACCGGCCCATGTGGTAGCGGACGAACTAAGGATTTCGTGCTTGCAAGGAAGTGTGCAAGTGGGTGAACGCATCACCAGCCAAGCTAGTCACTTGGAACATAGGGGTATTCAATCCCCAAGCTTCTGGTCCTTGAGAACCAACTTCGGATTTGCTCCTTAGATAGTGAGTAGCAAAGAAGGGTAGGGTTTGAAGTTTAAGACATACAACTTTGTTGTTTTTGTTTCTGTATTTCTGATTTATCCATTGGGTCAGTCTGGTTGATTCTTTGCACCTAGTTTTGGTGTAGCAGCTATATTTCGATTCATCCTCTTTTTTCAAGGGTTTCATAATTGGACGTCGAACTCATTTCATATGATGGGAGTTGCCGGTGTATTGGGCACTGCTTTGCTATGCGCAGGCTGAGAGGGAAGTGTAGCTAGTTTTGATTGAGCTCCTGACCTTTGACTCACCTGATTTCGAAAGCGTACTTTTTCTTGGTGTCATATGCCTTTCTCGTGCATACCAAGGTTTCCTTGCCTTGCTTTCTATTAATAGTACGAGGGGAAAGCACAGAATGGCAGAAGCGAAGTGAAAGAATAGACAACTCAATCCTTGACCTCTTTAACGTAACTAAGGGTAGATATTTGTCCCAACAACCTCGAAAATCAAGGGATTACCTCCGCATAGCCTCCAATGTCTGGATGGTCCTCATAGACTGCCATCGGTCTGAGGACGAAATGCTGTGCTAAGACTCACTCTGCTACCCAAAGCCTTCTGTAGGCTCTGCCACAAGGCTGAAGTGAACCGTGGATCTCTGTCTGATACTATGGATGATGGTATCCCGTGTAGGCGCACTATCTCATCAATATATATCTGGGCTAGCTTGCCCGTAGAGTAAGTCATACTGATCGACAGGAAGTGAGCTGACTTGGTCAGCCGATCAATAATCACCCAAATGGCGTCATGTTGCCTCGCAGTCTTCGGCAATCCAGAGACAAAGTCCATGGCTATCTCGTCCCACTTCCACTGTGGTATCTGAACTGGCTGTAAGGGTCCTGCTGGTCTCTGGTGCTTAGCCTTAACCAGCTGGCACACTAAGCATTTAGCCACATACTCAGCGGCATCCCTCTTCATACCTTTCCACCAATAGTGTGGGTGGATCGTCCTATACATCTTCATGCTCCCTAGGTGCAGGAAAAAAGGTGAGCTATGCGCCTCCTCCAAGATATCATGGCACAGGTCACTGTCCCGAGGAACATATACTCGTCCCCAGAAGATCAATCTATCCTAGTAGTATGTACATCTCATCTACATGAATTGATTCCCGTTTGCATGACTCTACTCGCGCGTGGTCATAATATTTTTTCCCCAACGAGATTCTGCAGAATAAATGAGTTAATAAACTCCATTGGATGGGTCTTTTTTTGAGTATATCTATGTAAAATCCACCCATAAGTGGAGCGAAATCTGGAGTTGTTAAGAAATTATCGTGTACAATATATATTGGTATACCCCTTAATTTAGCATTTCTGATCATATAAAAAACTATATTAGCATCCTTCTGATGGATGAAGTTCGCAAAAATGACGGAAGTAGTCTTTTTTAGATCACGAAGGTTAGTGGGAATTCTAAGTGTTACCTGCCGTCTTTTCTTGCTGGGACGATCATATATCCATATTTTGACAGCTTTCGATTTCATATAGTCCTGGACTGTATTAAAAACTGGTGTTGAATAGTAGACCGGTCTACCCATAGCTGATGCTAACTATCCTACAGAGCAGATTAAAGTCATTAGGTTTACAATATGAGGAAACCTCGACTTAAAGAACTTCTCGATATGACTAGAAATCTTCAAGCATTCTTTTTTCTTTAAGCATATCACAAGACTCAAATCAACTTCTAAGGAAAGGAAGCCTTTCATTGTTGCCGATACTGAGATAGTTATGATAAACGATATCCACATGCCATATGTTGCGGGTTTTTTAGTGGTTGAACCGGGTGATGCTCCGTCAGAAGATATGGGCTATAGTATTGAAATGTATTTCAGTGAAGACAATCCGGCGTCTCTATTTCCAACTATCCATAAAAGGAGTAATAAGATGTTGTCCGACTTTCTAGAGTGGTTAGCAGTCGTAGTGAGCAAAAATCGATCAATTCATACTGTCTACTTCCACAACTTATCACGATTTGATGGTATTCTATTTTTGAAATATTTCGCTAGTCATGATACTAAACACACCTTTAAACCTGTTATGAGGAACAACTTGCTATATGAGTTAGTTGTGTATCGCGATGAGAAAATGCTATTTCGTCTAAGGGATTCACTCATGCTTCTCCCGAGTAATCTCAATACCTTAGCTAAAAATCTCTGTCCCCAATTAGGGGCTAAAGGATGTATACAGTATGATAAAGTGCAAGAGTTGAATCTTATCCAGATACGGGAAGAATTATTGGAGTATATGAAACGGGATATCCTTTTATTAGGTGGCATTATGCATACAGATCAAGCTATGTATTATTCTCTGTATCGAGTTGATATCGTGAAAAAAGGACCTTGTCAGCGTTAGCTCTAGATATTTTTCGCTCTTGCTATTACGATCAAGAAAACTCCCCAATCTATATTCCCAATCAGAATGAAGATACATTCATTCGCCGTGGATACTGTAGGGTCCATACCGATGTATATAAACCTATAGGTTATAATCTATATTACTATGATGTAAACTCATTATACCCATATATTATGAAAAACTACCCAATGCCTAGGGGTGAGCCTGTCTGGCGGGGCAATTTGGAGAGCGTCAAATTAGATAGCTTGTTTGGATTTTTTAAGGCTTATATAGAGTGCCCTCCACATATAAAACGACCTTTCTTACCCTATAAAGATCCTAAATCTAAAATACTAATATTCCCTACATGTGAATTTGTCAGTGTTTATTATAGTGAAGAGTTAAAATATGCTAGAAGCGTAGGCTACAAGGTAATCCCTCTTTCGGGCTACATGTTTCAAAAGATGAATCCTGGCAGCCCATTCGGGGAGTTAGTTGGCTCCCTCTTTGAGAGCTGGTTAAAGGCAAGAAAAGAAGGTAATGAGGCCATGGCCTATGTGTACAAGATCCTTATGAATTCATTATACGGTAGATTTGGTATTAACCCTGAATCCATACAGACAGAGGTCTGCAATTATGATAAATATAATCAATTAATTATAACAACAGGGTTCCAGTATGCGGAGAAGCTTAGCGATAAATACTACATTATTGCCTATAAGACTAATACAGAACGGGTTCCAGACGCGGAGTGGAGGCCGCCAAGGATAGCAGCAGTTCAGATATCAGCGGCTATCACAACATGCGCTCGTATCCATATGCATCCTTACAATTCAAGAGAAGATTGTTACTACACGGATACAGACTCAGTTATCCTTGGGAGTCCTCTTCCTGATGATGATGTCTCACCCACTGAATTGGGGAAGTTTAAGCTGGAGCACAAATTAAGTAAAGGTATCTTTTTATCACCAAAGGGTTATTGTCTTTGGACTGATAAAAATCAGATCATAATTAAACATAAGGGGTTAGCTAAACCATTGGTCAGTGATAAGTGGTATGAAACACAATACGCTGATTTAAAACGGAGAATAGTGGCCCTTGTTGATTCTAACTTCCTAATAAATTGGGCAACACTGGACATCATGAAAAAGACCAAATTAGTGAAGTTAAGTACCCAAACTAATACCAAGAGGGAACCGGTGTATGACAATAATCAAGATTGGGTTGATACAAAACCAGTGAATGTGAAAGACTACGCGAGACAAGATAAAAGAGTACTTCTATATAAATATAGGATACAATCCGATAGTATCATCAAAGATAAGCAAGGCTAGAGTCAAAGGCCAGATTCCCCTAAGAAAGCTACTATTCAAAGGCAGGGGCAGAGTAACTCTTCACCTACTCTTTCATCCATCCACCGAAGAAGAATAAGAATAAGAAAAAATATATTAACTCCGGTAAGAAGAAGAAGAAAAAGCCAGGTTAGCCTTTTGAGAGCCTATCTTTTTCTTTTTTCTTACTGAGCAACCTTTTTTATACACCGAGGGAACCTTGAACATAAATCATTGACCCCTGATGGTTGGTAGGGGAAGTGAGTGGGGGCGTATCCTAGTTTAGCTCGGACTCTACTAGTGACTAAAGGTTGAAGGGCACTGGAGGATTCTATTAGTCTACGTAAGGCAGCTAAATAGAATATAAAATTACCATTTTAGGGGTTCAGGTCCAGATTCCTGGATAGGTTGTGCCGGTCTAATTGAGTTGTCGATGTATCAGCGCCCTCTTTTTAGTCTTAGTCCTCCGAATGGTTATTTCCCACTGTAGGGGAAAAGCCCGTACTTAGAATGGTTATTTCACATCACTGCCTTTTGACTGAAGTTCTTAGAAGAGGGAATGTAAAAGAATTAGACTAGGGACCTTATTCCAATCTTAAACCTTCGTTCTCCCCGCCCTGGAATTACTGAACTCCCAAGACGTTAAGCTAGCAAGACTAATAGGTTTAGGCTAGGGCGCCAACCCTGACTAGAAGTCTGTTTTTCCCACGTCCGGTAGACTTTCTTGGCTTTCACTAATAGAATAGTTCAAGCTTATTAGAATAGGCTGAGAAAAGCTAAGAGAGAACCTTACTTAATTACTTAAGTAAAGGTGCGTAGCTGTTTAGATACTCTTACTACTTTCTTTTCTTTAGAAGTATTATGATAACATCTTGGTTAAGAAAGTGATTTTATTTTTAATAGACTATCCACACCATCCCATTTCGGTAGGGACAAAACCGGCAGCAAGAGCGAATGAGAGAATTATGCCCAACCCAACTGCCTTAAGCAGAGATCCACTAGCCGAAATAGTTAATTCACATAAAGGCATTTCATTAATGGCATGGAGCACGAGCTGGGTAAGATTAGCAGAATCGATAAACTTTGTGACCTCAAACCCCTGCGGTTGATACTGTAGGTCGAAATACTTCTAGTAGTTGAATAGCGGGCCAAATATGGTGCTATCAGGCATATTAGCCATTGAGCAAGGGTCCACCTTGTACCAGACAACACAACCTACACCCGTGACCACTAGCGCCAAGTAACGCCCAAAATATCAGGGACTATATGTTACAACATCAGTTAATACCCTATCCGCATTCCCAGGTTCATTCAATAATCCACGAACGCCGGCTCCTAAACTAGAGGCAGTAAACATACTATCGGGTGAAATTTTACTAGTTATATATGATAAGCCCAGGTTGTTGTTGCAGTATACAGTCAGTTTTTCCAATTTCTCACTACAATACTCTAACTCTTTAAGTAGAAATTTAGATTGACCGGGTAGAAAACGAAATGCAAAAGCCATACTTTTATTACCAAAATTCTTCTACGACCCCGGATAATGGGGTAAAACAAAATCTAAGCAAATACCTTTCTTCATATCCTGTATTGTACCCTCCCACCAAGGATGAAATGTGTTCAAAGAATGAGAAAAAGAAGGCGTACTGCTTACGCTGACCTCTGAATTACCCGAGGAAGATCTGGTATTACCATTATCAGAAGAAGTCCCGCTATCAATAGTCAGTTTTTCGAACTTCTCACACAGCGTATAATCATCCAGGTTGTCGATATTTTCAATACATTAAAAAATCGACACCAATCTATACTCTTCGGCCGCATAACTGGAAATGAATTTTTTATGTAGGATATAAACCCTATAAATAGTGCTTCCGCTATTTAACACAGTTACCAAAGGCTCACCCGCGCCAACCCGGTTTGCTAGTTCAGCAAAAAGGCGGAGGGTAGTCTAATTCTAGGTGAGTAGGGCTTATATCAGATTTACTGAGCATTTAGCCTTGTAAGCCAACAATTTTTATAATTCACTACATAGACAAAAATATCCTATCAAATAAACACTACAAATAACGACCAAAAATAGTATACTATAATTATCTTTTTCCTCTTCAACTCCTGAAACATCAGCTTTAACCTCTTGTTTTTCAACCTCTGAAATATCAGTTTTAACCTCTTGTTTTAAGCGAATTATATGTTAGACATTAATGTTAGACATTAATGTTAGCGAAAAAACCAACTTCCGCTATTAATGTTAGACATTAATTATATGGTTATGTCTAACTCTGCTCATCCAAACTGGGATTTTAAGCGAAAGTTGAGCCTTCCGGTACTCTCTCCCGAATGTGTAAAAGACTTTTTCAAGTTTGATTAGTGAAAACGTCGTCAACTCGTAACCGGGGAATATAAGTCCTCCTCCCAAGACTACTCAATCCCTGCTCTATGTCTTGCTGCTGACCTTAGCGAGACAATGGGAGTGCATCTCATTTGAATAGAAAGGCTTTACCTCTCTTGTTGGACGAGACTAAAAAGTCTTNGGGGGGGGGGGGGGGGGGGGGGGAATGAAGGTTCCTCAATAAGATAATACTTTTTTTTAATGCTGACATGACAGGGGAAATAGGCTTGCAGAGTATGTCTTTGATGACCGAATAAAGTATAAAAATAAAACTTTAAGGGCCACCAAAAAGGAAAAAACGGACATCATGCTCGGCGGCTAAAGGGAAAGAAATTGGAAAGGTGCTCAAGATTGATTATACTACCTCTGATGTTGAGGGCGATCGTTCTATTTTATTGTGTGCAGAAGTTGATCTTACTAAGCCTTTTTTATTTTATCTAAGTTTAAATCGCACTGTGTGGAAAATTGAGTATGAGAGCCTTCATATGATCTCTTTTAATTATGGCAAAAGCAAATATGGCTTTAAGGATGATAACTGTCCATTAAAGCAAGTTGAAGGCCAAACTGATACAACGAAAGATCCAGTTGATAGTCATGGGAACAGTAGCGATTGGCCGGGGTTGAAGCAGACCTTTCCTATTTATTCATTATAATAACTATATGAAAAGAGGAAAGGACTTTTTTATAGAGAGGGGTTGAAAATATCTCAGAGCGAACGTAAGCTTTGCCATGAGAGTAGATCAGCGGAGTTTACGATCATAAAGAAAAGGCTAACCTCACCTTACGGATCATTTCACTTGCTTGACTGGTTTGCTTTCCAGGTTACTCACTTCCGTTCTATCGGGATGAACTAGCGATATGAGAGTTATCCCATCTTCGATGACTGGTGATTCGGCAACCGATTGATTCGGCGCATCTAAGTATTGAAAAACCCAAATTCGTTGGTATCTTTGCTGAAGGTCTCTTCGCATAAACCACCATGTTAACATAAATCAATGATGTTATCCGATTTCATAAATATGAAATTTATGAAATCGGATAATGCATTAGTCATTAATTGAATGAAATTAATTTTTCTATAATTAATTGAATGTCTAACATTGATTTATGTTATATATATATGGTTATGTCTGATAATGTCTAAATTAATTTATGATAATATCTATTAATTTCTTTATTAATAGACCCTCTAAATGAATCGGATAATGCATTAGTCATTCATTGGGGAAAAGAACATGATGATGCCTAACATGAGCGAATATCTATTCGCTCCCCTAAGCTTGTTCTTTTTCAAGAAAAAATGAATTGCAATCTTGGTTTAGTTTTGTTAATTTGAAAATTTTCATATTTATCAAGATTTTTAAGTGTGCAATCCTTTTGTGAAAATGTTGATGGGGGATGTTAAATTTATATTACGGTCAAATTTGTCTACTAGTAGTAGATTACGTCAGAGCTTTGTTACGTCAAATTTGAGAATCGTAACAAATCTGTATTACAAGTCGAAACTACAAGGGGTTGTTTGGTAGGAGTTATTACAAAAAAGGAAATTTTATCTCCTATAGTAAATGTTGATATCTTATTTATTATAAATAAATATATTTTTAAAAAATTATCTCCTATAGCTAGCTTTTAATTTTTATAGCAAAATATCTATTTATGGCCACTTCCTACCTTTAAGCCATTAAATACGTTGTGTATTATTTTTCTCTCTCCTTCTTTTTTCTCTCTCACAAAATTACCGTATAGGAAGTAAACTTCTCTCTCCCTCTTTCCTCCTTTCTCTTTCCTCTTTCTTCTCTTTTTCCCCCGATTTTTCCTCTCTGCTTTTAGAAACCCTAGGAGGGGCTGTGTTCCGCCAACGACAGATCCGGCCGGCGACCACTTCCCCCCCTTCCTTATTGTGTCACCCCTAACCCCCTCCTCCCTTATCCTTCTTCCTGCATCTGCCCCATTCTCTCTGTCACAACGCCATTCTCTCTGTCACAACGCCATTCTCTTCCCCATTTTCTCTATCAATGATTCTCCACTGATTCATCTCTATTATCTCTCTCAATTTTCAACTTTTTTTGCTCCAAAGAACTGTGGTAAGTAGAAACAAAGATTTGGGGAAACAAAAGATAAAGGAGAAACAAAGATTTGGAGAAATACAAGTGCAGATCTCAAAATTTTCGAAGCAGAAATGAGAGATTCACTACCTGGACGACTCAGAGGGGCTCGGTACCGGGGGTGACGCCCCACATGGCGACGACCTGGATATCGGTGGATTGGGGACGGAGTTTGGGGCTAAGGAACTTGAAGAGTATGTTACCCTTTTTAATTGTATTTCAATGTATCTCGCTGTATTCTATGTATTTCGTTATATTCACTGTCTTTATTAGTTTTTTCTACTTTTTCAATATATTCACTGTTTTTAACTGTATTCAATGTAATTATATAATTTTAAAGCTTCACTTTGTTTTACTGTTTTGTCCAACAGTATATATTATAAGCAGTATGTATTCAATGTATTGTAGAATGCATTCATATGTTTTTTAAATTAATATAACTAGCTTTAGTGTATGTGCGTTGCACATGAATTCTGCGTGTATCAATAAAATAATACGAATTATGTGTA